TTCTTCCTGAAGAAAACAACCATGGCATCGCAGAGGGGCCAAGTCTTGAATGTCAGATTACCGTCTGCCAAGTGAAACGATCTCACGCTCTACCAACAAGACAGGCATTGCAGCATGTCCCACTCCCATGTGCAATGACCCAGTCCGCGAATCGGAAGTTGACACGGTGGGAGAAGAACGACGGGGGTCGACAAGCACAGGACGAAGATTGAAAAATCCAAGCAATTATAATATATCTGGGAAACCAAACAGCCAGAAACAAATGGACATTTACCCAAACAGCCATTTCCTATGTAAAGGATTTCAATTGCCATATTGGAACAACCATTTGTTTCTGGTTGTTTGAGTTTGCAGGTATATCCTCTCGCTCTCCCTATATACAAATATGTACGTAAGAGAGGTCCACATCAGTCATGTCCTACCCCCTGCGCATGAGCATGGCAACAAGGTTGTAGAGGAGAATGTGGAAAATCTATCAAAATCGTCTTCCAAGAGTCTTTCTCAGGGTCCATGTTAGTCTGCAGGGGAGTATATAGATGTATATAGTATTCATTCACACGGATCTCGGGTAAATCTTGCTCTTTCTCCTTTGAACCCTGACTAGTCTATCGACATGTCGTGGCCATCCTGCACCCCTAGCCCACTTTCCCCAACCGTTCCGGACCACGGCAGTCTTTCGGCCAGCCTGGAACTTTCTCCCAGGAAGCGGTGGATTTCGGTCCATCAAAGTATCATGTAAAGTTAGGTGGGGCTTCGCCAACACACCAAGCACGGCCATCATATCTAGGTATAGTCGCGTGGACCTGCTTATGTTTGCAGTGCTCGTGTTGTGTTGTGGAGGTCCGTCAAACAGGGGGATTCCCAGAAGATGTCATCTCCCCCCAACCCAGGACTACCATGGACTACCATGGAAGCGGCTCTCTGCAAAACTGACACGTGCTGAGAAGGTATCGGGAGAAGTGTTCCTGTATAAATGTGAAGCCTTTGTCGATCAATCAATCCCATCCTTAACGGCCTACCCTAAGAACATCTAAGTACTCCTCGTGTGACCAACACTGCTTGGAGAAGGTTTTCAACCAAAAACATGTCCTTCTTGCAGGGCATTCCCCTGCACCTGTTGGCGATTTTCCATGGTTCAGAAGGACATCCCAAATGGTCTTGGATTTGGGGTAGGTGGTCAAAAAAAGGACGTTCCCCAAAGAGTTTGTTGCATCGATGTTCAATAGATTAGATTCAATGATTAGATGGGATTGAATGTTCTATTACTCTTGCTACTGACGGACTATGACCCTTCGTTCGGCTCGTGTCGTGCCCTGCCGCGGGACTCCACTCATCAGCACGCAGCCCAGCCGGACAGTCTCATCATCCATGGCTGCCCTAAGCCCTTGGTCTCTGCTTGGCGTTGTTTGAAGGCAAAGGTTATGCATCTTGAGTCTGCAAGGAAGGTCGGCTGGTGCATGCTGGTGCATATATGCTTTGGGGATCTACTTTCAGGTTTATGTATATACTTAGAAGCCCGAGTGACCCTGTCTTTGTCTAGGAGCGGAAAAATGCCTTTTCCAAGCAAAACACAGGATTCAAGCAGGTTCTAGCTAGTTAGTTGTGTATACTGTGTGTGTGCTAAACTATGTATGCATAGTGTATGTGTATATGCATATATAATCATATATATATATGTGTATACACGTGTGTGTGTAATCATATACTTACCTAGACGTCTTCTATGCGCACAAAAAGGCACATGACAAACGTCTTACAAAGCCACTATCGAGCCCAAAAAGTCCAACGGGCTTCCTAGCATTTCCCGACAACTTACCATAGGAGCTCCTCTGCCCCCAATGTGTGCAGAGTTCTTGCAAAAACGGTTGAATTTTGCAAAGTTCTTGAAGTGGGTCCTGCATCGGAGAAAAAACCCAGCTTTAAAGACTTGCCGTCGGCTCAAAAGGATTGAGTGCGATGTAGCGGCAGGCATGAATACACCTTGATACTGAGACTGCAAATTCCGAATCAGCCAAAATTGGGCTTGTGCTATAAAATCAGTGTCATTGAACATACACAAGAAAACAATTTGGACAACCCTGGAATTGCTTAGGGTGTCTGCATGTACTACCTTCTGGCAAAGAAATCAACAGCACCACAGAAAATTCCTGTCTCACCAGTTCGGCAGGTGCATCAAGCAAAAAAAGGCTTTTGAAACCACAGAGGCTCGAGGCTCGCCCTGCCGTAGCTTGTGCTACGTCATCACCAAAAACATATTCGGTACACGAGGGCTACAAGCCAGCTTAGGTGGACCAGTCAGCCAAGTCCAGACCCAAGCTGTACTGCGTCTCCTCATACTCCTGACCAAAAACCGGGCCCAACGTTTTTCAGTCCTCACAATCTAAACGTAGCCGCATACCCCTCCCAACCTATGCCTATGCCATACATGCACTGCGAGTTTGAACTTAGAAAACTTGCAATGCTCAACATCCCTGATGTCCTGTAAGTACACGCGGATGCTCAAGAAGTCAGTGGGGCATGCTGTCTCGCATCGCTTGCAACCCACGCAGTCCTCTACTCGAGGAGAGGATGCCACCTGCTTTGCCGCGTTCACAGTGGCTGGCACCATTTCGAGGACATCGGTGGGGCATGCACGCACACACAGGGTGCAACCGATGCAGGTGTCATAGATCTTGACAGCATGGGAGCGTCGTGCCATCACGCTGGAGCGCTTGTGCAGGCGCGAGGCCACGCCAGCAGCGGCACCCAAAGCAACCCCAGCTGCGGCCACGCCAGCCATACCGCCCAAGGTCTTGGTCTCGTGGGCAGTGGCTGAGCTAGCCATTCCTGGTTGTTGCAAAGCCTGTCCACGGAAGCCTGCTGGCACGAAGGCATCCGAACGCGCCACCAGAGCCATGGCGGCAGCCGCGAGGCAAAGCAACCACTGGGACATGATGGCGAGAC